TAATCAATTTATTAAAATAGTTGACTTGGACATCTGTGATGGTGACTTCAGCCTCCACACCTTGCTCAATACTGATGAAAGTAACCTGCTTAACAACCTCAGAAGGACTGTGCAAGTCAACTAGTCGCTTGTGGATGAATTCTCATCTGGACACAATTCCATGTCTTGGAGCCTTCACCACAAGGCATTTTTCTTGTAGTGATTCTCAATGTCTTGATAGGCATGTCTACAGGTCCTTTCACTTGAGATTCTTTTCCTTTATGCCTCTGATCAAGTCAGTTCACACGATCTCCAGAAATTTCACATAACGGCTGGTGGTGGTGTCTTTCTGGTATCTTTAAAAGCCATGGCTTTTTAAAAAAATAAATAAAGTTGATAAATCCGTAGCCATGCTAATGAAGAAAAAGAGACAGATAACTCAAATTACTAAAACCCATGATGAAAAGGAAATATCACAATGACATTACTGAAATACAGAAGATAAACAGAAACTATTTTGAAAATTTAAATTTCATAAAATAGAAAATCTTGAAGACATCAACAAATTTCTAGAGATAAATGTCCTACCAAACTGAATTAGGAGGACATACAGAATTTAAACAGATCAATTTCAAGCAATGAAATAGAAGATGCCATCAAAAGCTTATCAATTAAGAAAAGCCCAGATCTGGGCACGGTGGTGCACACCTTTAATCCCAGAGGCTCAGGAGGGTGAGGTAGGAGAATCATGAGTTCAAACCAGCCTCAGCAAAAGCCAGGTGCTAAGCAACTCAGACCCTTCTCTAAATAAAATACAAAATAGGCCTGGGGATGTAGATCAGTAGTAGTTAAGTGCCCCTGAGTTCAATCCCCAGTACCAAAAGAAAAAAATGTTCAGTACCAGATGGATTTTCAGCCAAGCTCTACAAGACCTTTAAAGAAGAATTTACACCAATATTCCTCAAATTATCCCATGAAATAGAAAAGGAGGGAATCCTTCCAAAATCATTCTATAAAGCTTATATCATCCTGATACCAAAACCAGACAAAAGACACATCAAGAAAAGAAAACTTCAGACCAATATCCCTGATGAACATTGAAAATTCTCAATAAATTTCTGGCAAATTCCATACAAAAATATATTAAAAAGATAGTGCACCAGGATAAAGGGCTTTCAAGCCAGAGAAGCAAGGTTGGTTCAACATATGGAAATTGATAAATGTCATTCATCATATCAATATACTTAAAGACAAGAATCATATGATCATCTTAATAGATGCATAAAAAGCATTTGACAAATATAGCACCCCTCCATATCCAAAACACTAGAAAACTAGGGATAGTACAAACATACTTCAATGTTGTAAAAGCTATCTATGCTTAGCCCAAGGCCAACATCATTTTTTTTTTTTCCTTTGTGGTACTGGGGATTGAACCCAGGGCCTTGTGCATGTGAGACAAGCACTCTACCAACTGAGCTATATCCCCAGGCCCAACATCATTCTTTTTTTTTTTTAGTTGTAGTTGGACACAATACCCAATACCTTTTATTTTATTTATTGATTTTTGTGTGGTACTGAGGATTGAACCCAGGCCTCCGTATGGGCTAGGCGAGCACTCTACTGCTGAGCTACCACCCCAGCTCCCCCAACATCATTCTTTTTTTTTAATTTTTTAGTTGTAAATGGACCTTTTATTTTATTTATTTATATGTGGTGCTGAGGATCAAACCCAGGGCCTCACACATGCCAGGCAAATGCTCTACCACTGAGCCACAACCCCAGTACCCCCAACATCATTCTTAGTGGGGGAAAATGTAAAAGCATTCCCTCTAAGAACTGCAACAAGGCAAGGAGGCCCTCTTTCACCACTTTTATTCAACATTGTCCTTGAAACTCTAGCTAGAGCATTTAGACAGAAGAAATAAACTAAAGGGATACAAATAGGAAGAGAACTCAAGCTATCACTGCTTGTCAATGACATAATTATATATTTGGAATATCCAAAAATCCACCAGAAACATTTTAGAACTCATAAATGAATTCAGTAAAGTAGCAGGAAACAAAATTAATATCTATAAATCAATTGTATTCCTGTACATAAGTGATTCCACTGAAAGAGAAATCAGGAAAACTATCCCATTCAGAAATATATGAAAAAATGTTCAACATCTATAGCAATTAGAGAAATGTAAATCAAAACTACTCTAAGATTTCATCTCACTCCACTAGAATGGCAATTATCAAGAATACAAGCACAATGAATGTTGACAAGGATGTGGGGGGAAAGGCACACACATACATTGCTTGTGGTACTTCAAATTGGTGCAACCACTATGGAAAGCAGAATGGAGATTCCTCAGAAAACTTGGAATGAAACCACCATTTGACCCAGATATCCTACACCTTCATCTATACCCAAAGGACTTAAAATCAGCATGCTACAGTGACACAGCCACATCAATGTTTGTAGCAGCTTGATTCACAATAGCTAAGCTATGGAACCAAACTAGGTGCCCGTCAACAGATGAATGGGTAAAGAAAATGTAGTAGATGTGAGGGCGATCTGGCTGCGACATCTGTCACCCCACTGATCCCCAGGGTTGATTCAGCTGATCTGGCTGGCTAGGCTGGTGTCCCCTTCCTCCCTCACCGTTCCCTGTGCTTCCCTCCCAAAGGACCATTCTTAAGTCAAGGGTATACAAGTAGCTGCACTCTCCTGATAGAACCTCCAAAAAACTCTCAAAAATATGTGGTATATATACACAATGGAATATTACTCAGCCAGAAAAAAGAACGAAATGATGGCATTTGCCAGTAAATAGATGGAGCTAGAGAATATCATGCTAAGTGAAATAAGCCAGCCCCAAAAAACCAAAGGTTGAATGTTTTCTCTGATATGTGGATGTTAGATCATAATAAAAGGGGAGGGGCTAGAGAAGAATAGAGCTACTTTGGATTAGATAAAGGGAAGTGAAGAGAGAGGAGGAGGTGTGGGAGTAGGAAGGATAATAAAATGAATTAGACAGTATTAGCCTATGTGCATATATGATTACATAACCATTGTAACTCTGCATCATGTACAACCAGAAGAATGAGAAGTTATACTCCATTTATTTATGATGTGTCAAAATGCATTCTACTGTCATGTACAACTAATTAGAACAAATTTTTTTAAAAATCCAGTATTCATTCATGTCAAAAATTCACAGCAAATTACTTAAAAGAGTTTTACAAAGAACACCTAGCAGAACCCTATAGTTGACATCATACCGGATGGTGAAATACTGAAAGCTTTTCCCTGTAATCAGGAACAAAGTTGTTCTCATCACTTCTACTAGCCACTGACCTGGAAAACCCTATCAGTACAACAAGACAAGAAAAAGAAATAATTATCATAAAGATTGGAAAGGAAGAAGAAAATTCATCCTTATTTGCAGATGACACCATTGTGAATGCAAAAAGCTCTAGAAACCTGCAGAAGGCTGGGGAAGTAGTCCTGTGATAGAGTGATACCTACCACACACAAGGCTCCAGATTTGACCTCCAGCACTGCAAAAAATCTCATCAAGCCAGGCGTGGTGGCTCACAGCTGTGATCCCAGAAGCTCAGTAGCCTGAGGCAGGAGGATCACGAGTTCAAAGCCAGCCTCAGCAGAAGTGAGGCACTAAGCAACTCAGTGAGAGGCTGGCTCTAAATAAAATAAAAATGGCGGGGATGTGACTCAGTGGTTGAGTGCCTCTGAGTTCAATCCCCAGCACCACACACACACACACACAAAAAAAATCTAATGGAAACTTGTAAGTGAATTTAGCAATGCTATAGGCGTAAAGTTAATATATACAAATAAATTGTATTCCTACATACTACAATAAGCAAATGAAAATAAAATTAACAATAGGATCAGAAAACATATGATACTTAGGGACAAATTTTGAAATATGTTTAATTACAAGTGAAAATGACTAACATTGCTGAGAGACATTAAATTACCCTAAATAAATAAATTCATAAACTGGGAAACTGATTATTGTTTAGATAATACTCTCCCAAATTAATCTATAGATTACCCACAAAAACACGGATTAGTCTCAGAAACAGCACACACAACAAGATAAGTCTGGCCCAGAAAAGTATATATCCTATGATTCAATGTATGCGACACTCTAGGAAAAACCAATCTTATCTATAATGACAAAAATCAGATACTTGTATGAAGATGGAAGGGCCTCAATAAAACTTTGCGGTGGTAAAAGTGCTTTATACCTTGATTGGAGAGGCTGTTACATGGGTGTATGTGTACCCCTGTCAAAACATCAAACTGAGCCAGGCGTGGTGGCACATGCCTGTTGTTTCAGCTACTTGGGAGGCTGAAGCATGAGCACAAGTTTGAGACCAACCTAGGCAACACAGAAAGACCATATCCCCCCACAAAAAAAAAAAAAAAATCTGTCAAACTATACAATTAAAATGTGCACATCCTATGTAACATAAATTTTACCTGAATAAAGTTTACTTTAAAAATAAGCTCTTTACACATCTTTACCCTGATTTCAAAATCAAAGTATTATAAAAAGTGTAAAATAGTTCTAGTCATAATGAAAGGTGCACATTCAAAAGTGTAATTCAACATGAGTCAGTAAAGCCTTATTTATTTTATTGAAAATGTGTTTGAAAGCAAAACTGAAACCACTGTAAGGTATCAAACACAAGAGTGATGCACAGCTTCCCAAAGCCAACGACCCAGGAGGGGAGCTCCTCACCGCGGCACCTGTTCCCCACAATGAAACTGAACTGGGTTCTCCATGGTATTCTTTCACTGGTAAAGTGTTCTTTAACCTTCTCAGGGATCTTTTTCCTTACATGTTCCACTACAAACTTTTCCTTTATTTAAATGATTACTGAGTGTCTCTCTTTAATGCAGAAGTCTGCCCTGCCCTAATTCATCTTCTTCTTTTCTTTCATTTTTTTTCTTTCTCATGAAGGATGTGGCCACAATTATCCCAATGCCCAGGATATATTTCATGAAAAAACTTGTCTCTGCCTGAGCTGCTTCATGGCACTTTTTACCTCCTCATTCCTCAAGGTATAAATGAGAGGATTCAGCAAAGGGGTGACCACAGTGTAGAAGACAGACACCATCTTGTCAATGGAGAAGCTGGTGTCTGGCCGAGTGTAGAGGAAAATACATGGCCCAAAGAAAAGAGCGACCACCATGAAGTGGGCTGAGCAGGTAGACAGGGCTTTCCGACGTCCATCAGCTGACTGCTTTCGAAGAGAAACCAGGATGACTGTGTAGGAAGTCACTAAAGCCAGGAAACAAGTGAGAGAGATGGTTCCACTATTGGACACGATCAGCATTCCTGTGAGGTACGTGTCTGTGCAGGCCAGCTTGATGACGGGAGGCACATCACAGAAATAGCTGTCAATAATGTTGGGGCCACAATAGGGCAGACGAATGGTCAAGAAGGTCTGCACTAGTGAGTGAACAGTGCCCCCCAACCAGAGAGCAAAGACAAGTTGTACGCAGACCCTCATGTTCATTACATTGGGGTAGTGTAATGGAGTGCAGATAGCTACGTAACGATCATACGCCATGATGGTCAACAGAAAGATCTCAGCACAGGCAAAAAGATGTAGGAAGAAAAGCTGTGCCATGCAGTTATCAAAGGAAATGGTCTTTCTCTCTAAAAGCAAACCCTCCAGCATCTTAGGCACGGTGACAGATGAGTGGCAGATGTCAATTAAGGACAGATTGCTCAGGAAGAAATACATGGGGGTGTGGAGACGTGGAGTAAAGAAAATGGTAATAATGATGAGAATGTTCCCCAAAACGGTGAGCGTATAAGTGATTGAGAATGCCACGAAAAACAGTATCTCCAGCACCCAGTTGTCAGTGAGTCCCAAGAAGACAAATTCAGGCACTCTTGTTTGGTTTAGAGCTCCCATCCAATGAGCTTTCCAAAGGAACTTGCAGGGGAAGGAGGGTGAAAGTTAATTTAACTTTGACATTATGGGAATGGAACTCATTGAAATGATACTGTGTTCCTATCTAAAATGCTTATTTAATTATAATAATAATTATTACAATATGCCCACTACATATCAGGAACCAAGCTAAGCACTTCATGTACACCATTCTATTTAGGCTTAATTGCTCCTATCTTGCAGATGAGATCAGTGAGATTTGACAAGAATAAATAAACTTCCCAAAACTCTTACCCATTAGTTAAATGGCTCTTTTCATTTCAGACGAATCCATTGATAGAATCAAATTAACATTCCAAAAATATACAATCCCTAAATACAATCACTCAGTATTTAACTTACTATCAAATTAAATGCACATTCAAAACCTATAATGGTTTATTGCATGCTTAACTTTTTTAATGTGGTGTATTTTTTATTTGTTTTCTTCTCTCCAGCCAAACAATTTGCTCTCCTCCAGGCATGCTACCTCCACCTACCTATTTTTCAAAATCTTTGTTTTTATTTATTATTTTCCTTCCACTCAGAAAACACATCCTGTGGGAGAGTGGGGAAGGAAAGAATAGAAGAAGCCCATTGGATTAAACAAAGGGGCATGAAGGGAAGGGATTGGGAAGAGGAATAGGAAAGACAGTAGAATTAACCAGACATAACGCTCCTATCCTTGTATTTGAATACACAACCAGGGCAACTCCGTACCATGTATGGCCACAAGAATAGGATCCTAATTAGAATAAATTATACTCCATGTATGCCGCAGTCTGGCTGGGCACAAAATCACGAGCCACTCAAGCAGGAACAAAGTTTATTTTTTGAAACTGCCGCCAATGTCCGGTACCGCCCGGGAAGATTTTTTCCACACACGCCCTCCTCTCGGACCGCCGAGCGCGCTCCTCCCCCGGAACTCCCTCCTACTGTACTTCCCCAACCAATGGGAACTCTCCAGGAGTCCCGTAGCCGGCCTAGGTGAACAGCAGGAGTCCAATATCCATATGAATGCAAATCTTAACATAATCATATCATCTCAATGGCTAGCTGGCGTCACCTTTCGACCAAAAATGCCATGCATCATATACTTGGCTCTTAGCACATGTATGTACAATATGCCAAAATACACTCTATTGTCATGTATATCTAAAAAAGAACAAATTTTTTTAAAAAGGAAAACATATCCTGTAACCAAGTATACTCTCCTCACCTCATCGCTGACTAATAAAATCCTATTCATCTTTTATCTTGGACTCTCTCAAAGAGCACAACCTTTAAGAAAACTTTCCTCATGTGACCAAAGCTTACCTTTTCCCTTTCATATTTCTTTTATGGTACTTGATTGTAAAGGAAAGTAAAATAGAGATGTAATTTAGCTCACAATAAAATTAAACTTTTTCTTAAAAAGTAATAAACACATGTGACTTACTACTCACAGCACTCAGTAGATGTTTTACATGCAGCAAGTAGGCAAAAATATTTTTATTTCAACCAAACCAAATTTTAAAAAAGAATCCAATCCTCCCTTCAGAATGGTGTTAATAAGTTACTTAAATAACTTAATTTTTTAATAGTGTAATATGAGTTGTCCTCTAGGAGATATTATTGTTCAAATACTAAAGTCATATTACCTCTAGTTCCATAGTGGTTGGCTGGCCAAAAACTATAACATTTTGGGAAATAATCATCACAAATCACACAAGCAAAAAAAAATGCACTCCATCCAATTAATTCACAGAAAAAACAAAAATCAAGAAAATATTAACTATCATGTTATTTTTAAAAACCTAACAGTAGCAGAACTTGACTAGAATTGTATACAGCCATTAAGAATGATAGTGACAACTAATTGAAATAATAATGATAGAAGGAGGTCAGTCGAGTACAGCAAGTTAATCAGGGCAGGAAAGAGAAGGAAAGGGAAGGTTCTGGGGAATGAGATTGATCAAAGGATGTTATATGCATGTACAAATATGGCAAAATGAATCCCACTGTTACATATAATTACAATGCAACAATTAAAATTTTCAATAGAAAGAATGATAGTGACAAAAGATTACCAACATGAAAAGACATTGAAATATAATACATATAAGCTTTAAAAATACATTCTCAGCAATTTGAAATGTATGTAAAAGACAAATAGCAAATCAGAAGACAATATTAAAACATGTATGTCTAAAAATAGAAAACATTCCTTTCTTCAAGGATCTCAAAACTTGATAAGAAAAGACAAACGACTCAATTGAAAATGAGCAAAGAATACAAATAGGAAAAGAACAGGGAAACACTTGTGAGACGTAAATATGAATAAAAAGATGTTCAACTTTAGTAGTACACAAAAAAATACATTTTTGTCTTTCATCAAATTGACAAAACTATAAAGCACTCTTTACATGCTGCTACTAAAAATAAATATTATTAAGACTCTTTGGAAAATAATCTGGCAAGACCAATTAAATTTTTAAATGTTTATAACTTTAGACCAAGGAATTTTAGTTCTAGGACTATGTTTTACAGAAATAAAGAAACTGGTAACTAAAGATACATTTTTTAAGCATTTTTAGTAAAACAAGATACTGGAAACAAACTGAATGCTCATCAACAGAGGAATAGATAAATACTTTTAATAGTATGGAGTATTATGGAGCCATTAATAAGAATGAGTTAGATCTATGTGTATTAACCTAAAGCAGTGATTCTCAACATGGCTACATATTAAAAGCACCTAAGGAATGTTTACAAATTTTGATGCCCCAGGCTCACTCCAAACAATTAATTCAGAATCTCTGGGAGTTGGACCCATCAGGACTGTTAAAGTTCCTTAATGATCCCAATGTATAGTCAAAATTACAAATTACTAACTTAAAGGAATGTCAACAGCATATTGTCGAATAAAAAGAGTCCATTATGAATACATTTTATACCTGGAAGAAGGAATAAAAGAATGAATGAAAAAAAGAAATAAAGGAAGGAGTCACAGATTTGTGGGTGTGCACACATATATATATAAATGTGATGCATCTATGTATGTACGTACACTTGAACAAATTCAAATATATCTGTGGATTCATGAATTATATTTGTACATATTTAATCCTAAAAGGATAAAAGATAGATAGTGAAGAATACACACCAATTTTAACAGGTTACCTCCTAAAGTGTGGAATCGAAAAGAATATTAAAGTTTTATTAATTTTCACATTATATTCTGTAATTATTTAAGTTTATGTATTAAGCATGAGTTTTAAAAAAACAAAGTATTAAAAGAATGCATAGGAGAAAGAAGAGGAAATTAAAATTCTGATTTTGTGGAATTATAAACAGTTTTTCCCTTCTGTGTCTAAGAGATTATGCTTTGAGTATTTTTACTCTTTGTCTTTTGGGTTTTGTTTTGTTTTGTTTTTATGGATTGGGAAATAAATCCAAGGCTTTGTTTATACTAGGCCAGCACCCTACCACTGAGCTACTGAGGATCTTTCCCATACACTATTGGTCAGAAATGCATTAGAACAGAGAAACAAGAACTCTTTTTACTTTCAATAAGAAAGGAGAAGACATAAGCTAGTCATAAAACTATATACAGTGCCTTCAAATGACTGTGATCTTTAGCATTTACTTCCATGAACCTCAGTTTTCTGAGCTATAAAATGGGAACTAAATCTAGTTCTTCTGTTTAATTATATATACATATATCTGAATATATATATATATATACACACACACATATACATATATATATATATATATATATACACACACACACATATATATATATGAGAGATATATATGTATGAATGAATGATGACTGAGTCTCTTGTTGGAAGGACTGAAAAGCAGAGAATGGGGAGAATTTCAGGCTTCAGTGTCTCCATGGCACAGAGATCATCATTAAAAATTGAAGCTCATCATGCACATTTTACTTTTGTAGAAAAATATAGCAGGAAGTATGAATCTTGGGATATGCCTAAACTTACAAAACCAAGATAATTCCCTTGATGTCCCTAGGCTGTTTTCCAGCAGCAGATGGCATCTGTTACATCTTAGTTACCAGAGCAACCTACACAGTGTTAGCAAAAAAAAAAAAAAAAAGAGTTTTAGTTCTAGATTTTTGACTCTGAGATTATTTAACTTGGGAAAAATAGCTTGGCCTTTCTGGCCTTCATTTTTCACAACTATACAAATAAAAGTACTCAACCCTGCTTCATAGAACTGTAACAAAAAAGCTTAACATATTGCCTGCACTTGAAGTGCATAAAAAATTTGGTCATTTTCATTGATAACTAAGACATCCCTGAGAGAAAATGTCTAATAAAGTTTCCCTAAGTGAAAATGTAGGTCATGTAAGTTTCGGAAGCCTAAAACCCAGACCATGAAAAAGCAGGTGAAAGATAAATGAGGGGATGGGGATGTAACTCAGGGGTAGAGCTTTGCCTAACATACTTGAGACCCTGGGTTCCTTCACCAGCACCAAAAAAAAAAAAAAAAAGGAAGGAAGGAAGTTAACAAGATTAAGTGAGTGTCAGAGCAGGATCTTAGCACATGAGAAATTATTCCGTCAGATTTTCCCTTGGCTCTCCTTTCCCAATTTTAAGGTCCCAGATATCTCTCATGGAGACCCTCCTGATTGTTAAAAAGGAAAAAAAAAAACACTTCCTGATTACACATTACCTGGTTCATCTTCTTTATAGCACTGGATTTATCCAAATTATTTGCATGCATGAATTATTGTCTGCCTCTCCAAATATTAACCCCTTGAAGGCAGGGACTAGGCCCACCTTTACTGCCACTTCCCCAACACTTGGATTCATCAGGGGATGAGATCCCAACAGTCAGCCCACAATATTTTTGGCAGTGACTAAGATCCATACTCCAGGAGAAGAGAAGCCACTGCAGAAATGTTGAGCAGTTTCTAAAAACTTTCTAAAAAAACTTTCTAAACTTTCTAAAAAAACCCACATAATTGAAAACAATAAACAAGAATACA